ACTACAAGCATGCTTTGTTCTACAAAGTCCTTCAATAAATGTAGTATATGTGAATACACCAGCAAATTTTGAAGTTCTTTACAAAGTAGGTAAATTTTTCCTCTACTAATTGTTATTCGCTTTAAGCTGTCCGAGATTTCTGACAAACTTTTCGTCCTGCACATAATTCAAGGTTCCATGCTAAGTTTTCATAGTTTTCCCCGTCTCATCTTTATAGCGTTTTACCCTCATTAAATGAAAGGAAATTAAAGTTGCGTGTTCATTGTCTATATTCCACGTGCATATGCAGATATCTACACATATTTGTAGGTAGTAAAACATATATGTATATATACATATATACTTACATAAATTGTATATGGCGGCATACCGTCAACTATGTTTCACACATAAAACTCGTAGGCAGTCTATAAAATTTTGCTAGGTATGAGCAGGAGTAAAGTTTAAGTGCGAGGGTGAGAAAGGTTTGAGAGTAAAGTTACCGTTAAATGTTCGTATTGGTATTTCATTAATCGTTGACAAATATGTCTTGTGGGCTGTATTCAAATAAGATTGAGGTTATGTGTGTATTCATAAGTGTTTATGCTATAACAGTATATGTACACTACTTGACCAAGGCAAAGTTTTAGGAAACCTTTAGGAAAATGTAAATATATATTTGTTTATATTTTTGTAGGTTTACAACAAAAAAAAAATGTGTTTGCTTTATTTTTTCGCACAGTGGTATGAATCAAGGATGATAGCTGATCAAAATTGTATGTTATGAATATTTCGCCATTTCAACAAACAACATACTATATGAAGGCAACGGCTTGATGACGAGTTTCTGGATACAGCCACAGGAAAATGGCGTATCAACTGCAACAATTACAAGCATCCAATATGTTTGAAGGACGAAATCATCAAAACGGCCGCATTCGAAGAAAAAGAAAGTGGTGGCCAAGACATTGCACCATGTGAAATCGAAAAGTTGAAGTAACGATCCTACAAGGGAACTGAGTTGAATAAAAAAAAAAAAAATGCAAAAAAAATGTTTAATATGGTAGGCCGGAGACTTTTAAAATTACCTGTTATGTATGCAAATTTTGATTTCAGATTAGGAACTGGTTGTAAACGTATAGAAAATCGAATGTGATATTGAGTCTGTGCGGTTGTTTCCTTTATTGTAAGAATCTGAGTTATGATAACCTTTAACTTCCGTGGAAACAGACCAAGAGTGCCTCGAATTGTATCTCTAGTATAAGGCGACAGAAAATTGATGACCCCCAGCAGTCATCATCTGATACACGGCATCTCCAATACAGACTGGCCTTTACAATAAAACGAATTTGCCGGAGTAGTGTTGGAGTATATACAAAAATCTTAATCACAGATCCACGATGTTACTAAGTATACGTTGAACTATATATAGAATCCTCACCAAGAACGAACAATGATGTGATATAGATGAATCAAAAATGTATTTATGCCGCTATGTCTGAACTTTCTATCCACGCAAAGCTAGTACGGCTGTGTATTGAACAAAACCAAAAGCTCCGCCAGGATCGGGAAGAATCTTTCCGAACCGTTGGATACTAAGCGTGGTTTCAGAAAAGGGGACTCTTTATCGTGTGACTTCTTCAATCTGCTGTTGGAGAAAATAATAAGGGCTGCAGAGCTAAATAGAGAAGGTACAATTTTCTATAAGAGTATACAGCTGATGGCGAGCAGTGATATCAATGATATTGTCCTCAAAAAACCGCCGTTTCTTCAGACTACATAAGTAAGTTAAACGTAGGGGTCTGGTTGTGAACGAGAATAATACGAAATATCTCCTGTCATCAAACGAACAACCATCGCAATCGTGACCTCCAGCGAATTAAAAGACAGCGGCTGGGCTGACTAGATCATGTTGTCCGAATGGAAAATAACACTTCCGCTTTGAATTCGATTCAGTGCTTGCCGGTGGAAGCAGAGGATGAGGAAGAACCACTCACCCCGTTGGAGAGATCAGGCGGAGAAGGACTGAACTTATTATCTCGAATTGACATAAAAAAACGAAAAGCAGAAATGATTGGCGCGCTGTTGTTAACTCGGCTATAACCGCGTAGCGGTGTCTACTCCCGTAAAGAAAAAGAGGGTCAAAGGGTGTTATAGACCCAATTACGTTTGGATGATAAATCAAGTCATTGGTTAGAATTGTTCCTTAAAAAATTAAATTATATAGGTGAAGTAAATGAGTTTCTAACAAATAAATTGTGAATACATTCTGAAACTATAATGTAACTGCTCTCAGCACACGGTGCACAATACAATTATAGGTTAGGTGGGCGTAAAATGTTTCGTTTAACTTATGTTTAGCATTAAGGCATTTGTCATGAACTTTTTTATATGCATCAAATATTATAATTCGAAGGGTGGTGCCTCATGAGAATCCTTTGAGTGCTTTACTTCGATATGCGTGCTACGGTAATAACTTATGCACACACACATTAAAGAAATCTATGGTATACTTGTATGTGCAAGCGGCACGTGACGCCGCCTCCCACACAAAAGCACGATTTCTTCGTGTAAGGTTATGTGCGGGTGTGTGTGTGTGTGTGCTATATGCACCTTTTATACGCTTGAATGCTTTCGATCAGGTGCTGTCCATTACCGAAACGCCATCGAACAAGTTCGATATGGTGTATTGCACATGTTTTTCCGAATATTCCAACGGATATTGGCATTTTTTACATTCGATTGAGTGCTGCATGGACTATATTTGCTATATTTGTATTTGTATGTGGTTTCTGGTATTGCAGACCCTTCCGGTTAATTTAAATTTATGCATAATGCAAATGAACGACAGTCACGAAAAGGGTGATAAATTCTCATAATCGATTATGTGTGTTTTCGAAGGCTTGGATGACATGCAGTTTTAGCTGATACGCTAGCTAGAAAGACTTAGTAATACGATAGTATATGCTTAAGCTTGTATTCACTATTAAGAAATTATTTTATTTACTCCTAGTAGAGCACTACTCATTTATATGTTAGTTTTAACGTTAGCTGATGTTTAATTGTTTCAGTGTTTTTAAAAAGAGTCGTCCAGACAAGTGATTGGTTTTGTATACACAAGATTTGGTTTTGGTTTGGGGGATGGCGTTAATGAAAAAATGAGGCATTAAACCTCTGTAATAGGTATAGGAGGCCTGCTGTATGAGGATTACGCAATGAGAACTACTTACTCAAAGATTCTGAAGATTATTCTCGATATCGCACCAATATACTTGTATAATCAGGTACAGTGTGGTATATTGCTCACAGATGAATGCGGAGTTAAGCTCAAAAAAATGAACCACTACTTTTACGATTGACAATTCCAACAGCAAAATTCATGTGTTCACTGATGGATCAAACAGTGAAACAGAAATAGGATCTATCGACAGAAAGTGGCTTCAAAGAAATTACTAAGTTTTGGCTTCTACTCTAACCAATACGACCATTAAATTACTAGTGTATAGCCAATCTCACTGATTTAGGTTATGCAATAACGAAACTTTCTGGGTGAAACTCGATAAAAATCGCCTGAGTATCCAGGGATATAGGAATAGAAGGAGACGAAGAAGTAGATAAGTTGGTCGATTCAGGAGAAGAAAGTAATGCAATTCTCCTAAGCTGCCTGAGACCATTCAGTTCTTTCAAGGGTTGCTTGAAGGGGTTAGGTGGGTTTGAAAATTTCCAAAAATCGTTTTTTTTGCCTCTAGTATACATATAGTCCTAAATTTAAAAGTTGATCTGAGTAATAATTTCGGAGATACAGCCTTGAGAACTTGTGCACTCAAGGCTAGCTGCGCTAAGTGCACTGTCTTTAAAAGGGGTTTGCTCGAAACTGTATTTTTGAAGTCGGTGGACACGATTTCTCGAAAAAATATCGACCGATTCAGTTCGTATTATGTACACGTTTTTGAAATAATATTATCTAGTTATTGAAGGAAGGATTTTTTCTTGTTTCATTACAACTTATTTTTCTGACCAAAAAATGCCGAAAAGTCCGAGAAAAGAAGCACAATTTTAATATTTTTTTATTTCCTACGTTCAAAAACGAGATTTATATGTGTACTAACAGAATATGCTTAGTTTTTTAATTTTATATGAACCAATAATAAGTTATGCTGTCCACGGCGAGAGCACATTTTTGAGAGACACTCAGGGAAATGCCGTCTCAATGGCGGAATTTTCAACATTTTTGTATCGAAATTTCAGGAGATATTGTTCAAATATATACCTTCGATATAATATATTATATTTTTCAAATATATGATATGATATAACTTGTCAATTAAGTACATAAAAAGAAATTCTCTAAAGGTTTAGAACCATATTGTTCGGATATGTATGAAATATCCGTTCCCACGACAGTCGGGTCTACGTAACCGGAACAGACCCGGATTTTTATCCGGGCAAGGACTGTCAACTCGGCATAATTCTGACCCTAAAACAACAGCAACAAATGAATTATATGGAAAATATATTCAATCCCTGGTAAGCTTACACCTTATTAAAATGATCCCGATTCGAAAATGATAATCAATAATATTAATTTTCTTGAAAGAAGTGAAAAACGAGAGTTATTTTGCCTATACTTATGTAAATATGCATTTACCAATCTACAAACGTTAGTCGTACATTTGAAAAACTTTTCTGCTTCAAAATTCCTTAGCCTTTTTGCTGTTTTCAAGTTAGACATACTTTTGCCTCGTAGTTGCAAAGTAAAACTGTACGTATGTATGTACATACTTTCGTTTTGTCTAATTACATCCGTTACATTTTTGTTTTCGAAATATTTTATCACTCAAACTCTCCTCAATCTTTTGCATACTTGGACGAATAGTTATTGTTTCATACTAGAATTTATACAAAATGGTGAACAAGTCATCTATTGGTGACTACACGAGCATTTGGTTTGTGTATGTGTATGTTTATTACATAAAAAGATTTATTTGCTGAATATTTATCTATGTGGAAATTGTACTTACGATATCCATTGATATATTCCAGAAACCGTTAGTTCACCCTTATCCTCGAGGGCGTATTCAATGAGCTCCGTATACGTGAATGGTGGTTTCTTTGGCCTGGTTTTGTGTTGGCACATCGAAATAGCGCAGTGCGGGTGGGTTGGGGCGTTCCATTTATGCGGCGTTGGGAGTGGGAGTTGTTCAATTTCACGTAGCATGGTTGTTGGTGGTTGAATTGTATATGGTATAAAGAAATTCGAGAAATAAAAAGTGGGAATACATGGAAAGGGAAGAGAAAAAAGTTATAGAGGATATAGTTGTGTGCTTCATTTTCTTAAAATATGTTTCTAAAAACAATATATGTAACATATTTAACAGTGAAAATTGTTTATATATGATAAAATAATATTAAACTGCCAGAGACAAGTTCTGCTGGTTCTAATGTGATGATAAAGCGCCTTGAATTAATCGCAAACTTTTTAACTTTTTATTCTTTGCTCCCTTTATGGCTGAATGTGTGAGGTTTTAAGTACTTTCGACTAGACCTCAAAAAGACTGAGCAATAAAGAATAATTGTCGCCTTCTCAAACCTGCTGAGACGTGGAACCTTACCATGTGGATACCTATTGGCTAATGACTAGTTAAAGTTTCCAACAGCAAGTTGGGATCTCTTTAAAAAAAAAAAGATATCCTTCATATAATGATTAGTAAAAGTTTCCAACAGCAAGTTGGGATCTTTTAAAAAGAAGCATATCCTTCATATATCCATGACAAATATTGTGAAGCTATCCTGACAAATAAGAAAATTTTCGAGACAAGGACTTATATTTAATCAATTTATATGGCAGCTACATGTCATAGTAGTCTGATAACGGATGTAGATAAATGAGCAGCTTCTTGTGGAGATAAGGAAGTGTGATTCATTTCAGGTCAATATCTCAAAAGCTCTTGGAAGGAATACGAGTATATATAGACAAGCAGAGGCACATGGCTAAAACAACTCAGATCGTCACGCCAATCATTTATACCATTTATATAATATAAATATATATGCTTTATAGGATCTTCGACATTACTTTCGAGTGTTGCAAACTTCATGGAAATCTTTATATCCCCGCTTAAGGTTTACAAAACTCCAACTTCTTTAGGAATAAATATTGAATAGTCCGAAAATATGTCTCGAGAATTATAACCGAGAATATAAAACATTAGTGTTAGTAAAAATCATATTACGGCGTCGTCCTGAGTAAAAGGCCTGTTTACTATAGGAATATACATAGATAAATAGATAAATAAATGAGGATTGCATCGTGACTTAAAGTCTATTGAGCCTTTCCCTAAGTTACAACGACGCACTTATCCCCATCATATTGTTATATTCCTATATACTGTTAGTTTATACTAAGGCGATGTGGTCCCTGTTTGGAAACATGGATGCAAGGCTCTTTATCCAGCGTTTATAAACTAGCAGGTGTTCTGAAGTTTCAGGCTCCATGTCGCAGAACCGTCAATTTGAACTTGCAACGGCCAGTGTAGAAAGCGACAAGTACCCGGAACTAGTCCCTGGGGAGGTTTCATAGTTACGAAGTAGTTCACCATACAATCGAGGGTTTTGAAATATGAGCACTGAAAAAGAAAACTCGTCTGTACGGCATCAACTTACGTTCTCTGTGGCGAGTTTTCCACTACAACATTTTCAGCGACCATCATATCATTGCCATCCACCTCGGCGGTGACTTCCATAACAAGTTCCTCGAATTTTTTTCCCGCCTTTGTAGTGCTCTTCGGTGAACGCATGTAGTCGCTAACGTTTTGTGGAATACCTGAGTGTGGAGTTGGGGATTGTGGAGAACAAGAACTCGATTTGTGCGAGGATGTAGGCGAACAGGAATTCCGGTGTTGCAAACCGTTATTTAAAGTGTTCGTGTGCGAATTATTATTGCTATTGCCACTCAAATCTGGGGAAAGATGAGGAAATTCGTCGAATTTAAAATTTAATAACCAAGAGAGATTTCGGTCTTCAAAGTCAGCCTCTGTATCTGTCAGTTCATTTGATTGTGCAAGCGTAGATTGTTGACTAGGTTGCGTTTGGAAGAATTGACCACCTGCTGATAACGTACGATATCTGCTAAGACCCGTATTGCCGTTTGGACTTGACACTTGTTTCTCAGGAATTAGAAACTGTGATTGATTGGATGCCTCTGTTTGCTGTTGTTGCTGTAGTGGATGTGGGTGCTTTTGCCTTTGCTGTACAACGCTGAGTGTGCTCTCCTCTGCCGCCTTCAAGGCGACTGTCGGATGTAGGTGTGCGATTTCGGTTTGCAAACCAGAATTATAACGATGATCGAGCTCTAGCAGATCGGTGGCTTGCCAATTGCTGCCATCATCATAGTTGGTATTTACACAGACGTTAGATGGTGTTACAAAGGCCGGCAATGTGGAATCAGCGCTGCCATTGGTGGGCTGGCTCACCAGACTAGCGGTAACTGGCACAATCAGATTGGCATCGTAGGCGAAGAGATCGTTGATGAAGGAACTGCTGCCGCTTATAAGGTTAAATGTCATATTGCTGTTGTTGTTACTATTATTATTATTATTGTTAGCTTTATCATTCATATTGTTGTTGTTATTTGTAGTACAGCTGTTGTTGGTGGAATTGCTGGCACTTGTGCTGACACATATCTCATTCTGTACATTTTCATCGGTTTGTATGGCATCAATTAGCATTTGTGTCTCGGTGTGTGTAGCACTGTAAATGTTGTAGTGGTTGGTGGCGTCATTATTGTAACAGGCATTTAGATCGGTTGTATCACTGGTGGTTTCTTGTAGGTGACGCTTCTTCCAGGCCGGCGTTGTGCGCGCGGTGGAGTTCCGATAATCAGCGTTGCTGCTTTCCGAGACACCGACATTGGCGCTGCAGTCACTTAAGTCACACTCACCGTCAAATTTTCGTTTTAGAAAATTATATTCACAAAGCGTCGATGAGCTGCCGTCCTGGCAGTTTGTGGTCGACGAAATTGACGGCAAGGGATTTGGCGAGTGACCGCTAGGAGTTGCGGGCATATTAACGATCATAACGCAGCAAATTTGACACTCGCACGCCGAAACACTATAGAAGATTTATAATTGATTTTTTTTTAAGAAGTTAAGTTAAGACAAATTAGTTATTTTTATTTATTTTTCACTGATATTCGTTTTTTTTTTGGTTTGAAAAAGTATATTAACTAATTATTACACATTTTTCATAGTTTTTATGTTAATTAGCATTTTTAATTTTGTTACTTATTTATATTTTATTTATAATATAAATATTTTAGTGTCGTTAACTTAAAATTTTAAKTTTTATGTGCAAATTTATTTTACTTTATTTTTTATATAACTTTTTGTTATATATATATTGGTATATGTATTTATATTTGTTACACTACTTATTGTGAAGCCTAATAATTTTTTTTGTAACAATTTTAATATTTTTAAACTTAGTTGCTTGTACTCGTTTAAAAATTGTGTAATATTATTTAAATTATTTTTATATTTTGTATAGAATTTTCTGCTATTTTGGGTTGTCTTTTTATATTTATTAATTTTTTTACACTTATTTATTGCATTTATGAAATTATATAATTCACTTTAACTATTTGTTTAAATTTTTCAACCTTAAACTGTTTTTTAAGAATATTTAATACTCTTTGAGTTTTTTTGTAATATATGTATGTATATAGAACTTGCC